AATTGTGACATTTAATATGAGTCACAAACAAGTGTCAGAAAATTAGTGACATTATAATGTTGCAAAATATAATGACACAATTGTAACAATAAATTTTAAAACACAAACATGTCACACCAATTAATGACACGCTAGCATCATAACTTGTATATAATATAATATAATTTACACCCAAATTTATTAATATTCATATTCATATTTAAATGAGATAAGTTTCAACAAGTAATCAAGACCAACATTTTTATTTACTACTCAAATTGTTACACAAGATATTCAAAGAGTTAATGACAATAATATAATGTATACTCCCACATGATACAAAACTACATATGATTCATTTACAATCCAAATACCCATAGAAATTTTCTAGGACTAAATAAGCTCCATATGATATTAGTTGACAACTTGACATGCATCGATAGGGCATCATCTTGCTTCTATTTTGTCTGAAAAACAGAGGAAGAAGAAAAAAAAATAGAAAATAAATTAGAATGACTTATATATTTCATAATTTTGAAATATGTGATCTATGATTAAACAATATAAAATGTCAATTGTTTGGGCGTAAAAAGCAATATGTAAAACACAAAGATGATTCCTAACCTCAAGATAATGATACTAGCGCCACAGAATCTTGGAGAAGATGAACTGAGAACATGGATTCGAATCCAATCACATGAACATTTTTGAGCAGCAAATCTAAGGAGCTGCAAAGTGACGGTGAGTAGAGGATAAACTTGAACTAAATTCTTCAGTAACCGATATGCATTGTCTTCATTTTAAAAATTTATCATTTTCATTTATTACCTTCCCTTGCGCTGCAACCCTGGAGAGAAAGTTCAACCGTTGAATCAAAGTTAAACACATAGATCAAACACCTAATAAAGCATAGGTTATTATTTATGATCTTCTCCTAGGCCATCAACATATTACTTTCAAGTTATAATAAAGAGGTATGAAACTAACAAAAAGTTTAAAAAATAGAGGTAATATGAGAAGATGGTCTCTCAGACATACTCACAAACACCTTCACCGGAGTAAAGTCGTCTAGTTCTACCTGTGGTGGTAAATGTGGATGACCTGCAGTAGAAAGGTTAGTAATAAAGGGGGTGTCCTCAGATATATTATCATCATTGGACCGGGCTGGATCAAGTGTAGTATCAGCAGTGTTAAATTGCTAAAGATGGATCAGAATGTTGTTCTTCATTTCCAAATTTAGCATCATTCGGGATTCCAAGATCAGGACTTGCGCGTATAGTATGAACTCCCTCGGTTACCGCCTAGCCACCGGGGGTTCATAATGATCAAATGCATCCGGGCTTATATATGGCAACAAATCGACTACCTGCAGGGACTATCTTTGAGGCATAAATGACCTCAGCAACATCATTGGTATCATGGGATATGGAAGCACAGTTATAAGCAGAGGGGACTATGTTTGAGGCACCAACTACCTCAGTAAAATCACTGGCAGTAGTGACTGATTCAAGAATAGCTTGGTCTGATTCAAGAACAACACCATCAAAATTTACCGAAGGGACAGATTTAAGAACACCATCATTCGGGGCTGCAATCCCAGGGATGGCACATTTTTCCGGTACAGAAAATACAACATCAGCAGGGACATTAACCGGGGCATCAACATTAATTACAGATTGAAGAACAACACTTAGTTTGCTATCTGCACAATCAGATAAGACTGCTGGGACATTGGCAGTGGTAACTTGGCTTTTAACAGGTGCAACATAATCAACCTGCAGGACATTTACTGTGACATCAAGAGTAATCGGGGCACCATACGTAGTGCACCAGAATACTCAAAATCATGGGCATCTGCGGATATAGCAGTTTCAGTGGAGATTTGTGTTATTCTAACCTCTCCAACAGCACACGGGGTTGCATTGGCATGGTCAGCAGGGACAGAGATTTCAGTAGCACAAAATGGAACATCACTCTAAATAATGGGACATTCTGCAGTTTCACAGATAATTACACATTCAACGTTAGCAATAGAGGCACAAAGAGGGGCAGTAATATCCTTATCACAGGTAACCTCAGCCAAAGGTAGCATCATAGGTTTTATAATCTTTTTTTATTCATCCTGGGGACACATGGTGGTAGTGTGGTCAAACTGAAAGCAAGCAGAATAGGAGGGAAGTTTTGGGGCAAAACTTTTAAAACATTAAGTACAATACAACATCTGGCTATTGAGGGTCTAGTGAAATTGGTCGTAGGGTTATCGATTTGAAGAGGTCTTTCCAAGAGACAGGTAATGGAGAATAAAGCCCTAGCATCATGGAGGTGAATTGGGAGGCCATCGAGGGCCACCCACACTGGACTCAAAGGGGAGTCGCGGTCAGTAGCATTGCAGGGGGTCCATCTGGTTACCTTCATCGTGTAACCAAAGAAATCCCAATGTTTTTGTAACCAAAACCTTTGGAAATCAGAGTCGGAATCGAAGTTTATCAGGATCCGATTCGATTGAATTAGTCCAACAGAAAACTGGTCAAAGAACCCTAGGGCATCCAGGGCTTTTTCTAATCGATGATGGAAGGGGTGGGCGACCTTGTGAGAAGGTCCCAATAAGAGCAAATCGGAAATTATAGATAGAACCTGGATATCGTCTGCAGTAAATGAGACCTGATACACTTGTAATTTCCGTATGTATGTTTACGTTTTTAGCTAGTTTTGGTTGTTTAGTATTTCGGAAATTACACACTTTTGGTGTAATAGTTTAGTTTGTTGAATTCTTGTAATTTGTTTAGATTAGGGTCATTCTGAGCTCAAACAGGTCTACCATCACTCAAAGGACAGTTGGTGAACCCCAAAAGTGGAAGGAAGGTGCAAAATCACAAGAAAAAAGGGAAATCCTGATTTTGGTCTATACTCGGTCGAGTATTACCTATACTCGATCGAGTATAAGGTTGAAACTTCAAATCGGATCGGATCCGAGGACAAAGGAACATGCCGGGAAGATTTTGGCCACGATTTAGTGTCTATACTCGATCGGGTAGACCGACATACCCGATCGAGTATGCCTTTGAGTTTAAACCCGAAATCGGTCGAGTATGGCTCGAATATCACTTTCTGCACATACTCGACCGAGTATGAACATATACTCGATCGAGTATACCTCGAATCTGGTATTTCTACACATACTCGATCGAGTATCTGTATATACTCGATCGAGTACCCGAGCCTGCACCTCAAAAAGCCTATAAATACACCTCCTTTCCTTCACTTTAGGAAACCAATTCACATATACTCTTTAGCTCAGTTTAGATTAGTGTTTTCTTTATATTTTCTATCATGTTTAGTCTCCAAATGAGGAGCTAAACTCTTCCATCTTGGTTTTGCTACTTTGAAGCTTAATGAATTTGTAAGTTGTGAGTTATTCCCTTTAATCTTCTTCCTTGAATATTAATTCTTCCTTTAAATACTATTTCTATATCAATGTTGGGGAGTGTTACTAAGATGACAATTAGTTAACATCTTGACATTAATTATAGTAATAGCTATTTCTTCCTCTATGTTAATATTGGGGAGTGTTACTAAGATGACAATTAGTTAACATCTTGATATTAACTATAGTAGGATTCATCTTCTCTAATGTTCTTCCTTGAATATTAATTAATTCCTATTCATATTTCATATTAATATTTTGAACATTACTTAAAGGATCAATTAGTTTTGTTTCATATATTAATTATTACTAGAATCAATCGGTTAATACGCTTGTTATTAATTCGGTTCTTTCAATAGTAGTTAACTTGGGTTGTTAATGCATGCTTCTCATGGTTAATAAACCAAGGGGAATTAATTATATTGATTAAACCAATAAACCGCTTGTGTTGAGGTTATCAATCTCAATCGTTTTCATCTTGATTTTATTGCTACTATCAAGTTAATATACGGCGCTTGTTCTATATTGACTCGGTAGTAAGTTTTATTAATGAACGCGTCTCGTTATTAATAACTACCCTCGATGAACTGGATATACTCCTCGATTGAGTATTCGAGAGGAAGATAGTTAAAGATATAACCGGGATCGACGAACATTTCATTAAGTGGATAAAAGCAAAGCCAAGTCTTCTTCTCATTAATTAAACTCATTTAAGTCATTCATCTTAGTGTTAATTAAATCAAATCAAATCTAAAAACCCCCTTTGTTACTAGTTAAATAAAAAGAGAAATATTCCTTTCCCTGTGGATACGAACCTTACTACGCTATACTACGTATAAGTGTTGTATTGATATTTATTTTGAGTGCACCTCACGACAAGTGCACGTCAAATTTGGCGCCGTTGCCGGGGAAAGGCAATTATTTTTCTTTTTATTTTATCTCATAAAAATAAAAAATAAAAACAACAAAAATTTAGAAAATAAAAATAAAAATAAAATCTTACTCTTCTATTTCTGAGCTTTCATGAGTATATGGATACCAAACTATCATCCCTAGAGAGTCAAATTTCCGACTTGACTTCTCTAATAAAGGAATTTATCTTAAGACCAAAAGCTCAAGATGCCAACACATGCAACATTTGCATGTCTCACAAACATCTTACGGATTTCTGCCCAAAGCTCCAAGATGAATACCTTAAAAGTGATGATGTTGGTTACAAAAGGGATGAACCTCACATGAGGTATGATCCGTTCTCCAACTCTAACATGTCTACGGAGGATATGGTCTGGGCTATTGCTACCAACATGACCACCATGCAAAACAACATGGTACAATTCCAAAATGAGACCAAGTCTAGCATTTTAAACTTGGAAACTCAAATGAGTCAAATAGCCGGAGCCGTGAGTAGGCTTGAAACAAGGGATTCAGAAAAACTTCCTTCTCAAATAGAATGTGATCCTAAACAGCAAACTTTTGCAATCACATTGACAAATGAAAAGGAGATACAAAAGGAGATCCAGAATCCAGAAGAAGTAGAAGAAGAAAAAGACACGGAGCTCCAACTGGTCAAAGAAGAGGATAAGCCGAGCTTCAAACTCAAACTTTTGTCATTGTCATCCTTTGAGGTATCTCCATCATCCCTGGACGCTTTAAGAGAAACTCATAAACTTGAAAAGGACAATGACATTTCTGAAATCTCCTTCAAAATTGAGGGATCGAAAAACTTTTCATTGACCATACTACATGATAATTTCTTCCCCTTCCTCCCACCACATAAATCAATGAAAATCTGGATATTTGATCCTGGAAAGATTTCCAAAGTGGAGAGTCGAGAAATTGAGCACTCCTATGGAGGTCCTAGGAGTGAAAATTTGAAGAAAATTAATTATCATGATCCAAGCTTGAACGATTGAACACAATGATGGCGTCGTGCCGCGACGTTAAATTAGGCGCTTCTTGGGAGGCAACCCAAGCAAGGTATGTTTTCTTTTCAGTTTATTTCAGTATGTGTGCGTGTGTAAAAAAAAAAAAAGTGTATCTGGGGACATACCCGATCGCGTAATCTTCCATACTCGGTCGGGTATGGGTAAAAATAGGGAGAACCGAGTTCCATACTCGAGCGAAATGGTCAGTATTTTAAACATTGGAGGCATACTCGATCGAGTATCAGTAATACTCGGTCGAGTATGTCCAGAAAGGCAAATCCAAAAAGAGCCTGTTTCCAGCACTCGATCGAGTATGGACATATACTCGGTCGAGTATGTCTGGAAAATCAACCTACCAGACCCTGTCTTGAAGGCCCGATCGAGTATTAAGCCATATTCGATCGGGTATTACTGGAAAACTTCATACTCGAACCCCTGTGTTGAGTATCCGATCGGGTAAATCTGCAACTTAACCCCAAAACACTCCCCAAAACACTTCATCTTCTCCAGACACCCATACCAACCTCGACCCCTTCTCCCCAAAACTCCAATTTTCTACCTTCTCTCTACCATATCTCCATCATTTCCCCACCAAAACACCCACAACCCACCAAAAATCAAAATCACCCTACTCCACAAACAACAAAAGCCGAAATTGGGCACTAGGGACAGTGCTTGAACTAAGTGTGGGGGAGGAGACTCATCATGGGTATGTAATCTTATTTTCTACCTTTTACTACGCATGAACTTCTTTAAAAAAAAAACAAAAAAAAAATGAAGAAAAGAAATGCTAGTTAGGTTGAAAACCCAACAAAATGGGCAATCTAAGCAAAAAAAGGCTTGTGAAAAATGATGAGTGAGTTGGGAGAATGGAAAATGAAAAGAGATGCTAGGATGAAAACCTGAAAAGGCTCCTAGGCAAAATGAGAGATATGAGAGTAATATTTATTTTTGCATGCACTCATTTAATCTCTTTGGAGTAAAAGAGGAAGAAGAGAAGAAAAAGAAGAAGAAAAAAAAGGGCAAGAAGATGGAGCATAGAAGATCATTAAACCCTAGAAAGAATGTTGTTGTAAAAACTCATTTTTCCCCTGGTGGTCTTAGTTTCCTTCTTTCTTGAACTTTTGGAAAACTCTTAAACCGGTTGGAAGTTTCTGTTTTACTCGAGGTCGAGTAAAGAACTAAGTGTGGGGGAGTTGATACACTTGTAATTTCCGTATGTATGTTTACGTTTTTAGCTAGTTTTGGTTGTTTAGTATTTCGGAAATTACACACTTTTGGTGTAATAGTTTAGTTTGTTGAATTCTTGTAATTTGTTTAGATTAGGGTCATTCTAAGCTCAAACAGGTCTACCATCACTCAAAGGACAGTTGGTGAACCCCAAAAGTGGAAGGAAGGTGCAAAATCACAAGAAAAAAGGGAAATCCTGATTTTGGTCTATACTCGGTCGAGTATTACCTATACTCGATCGAGTATAAGGTTGAAACTTCAAATCGGATCGGATCCGAGGACAAAGGAACATGCCGGGAAGATTTTGGCCACGATTTAGTGTCTATACTCGATCGGGTAGACCGACATACCCGATCGAGTATGCCTTTGAGTTTAAACCCGAAATCGGTCGAGTATGGCTCGAATATCACTTTCTGCACATACTCGACCGAGTATGAACATATACTCGATCGAGTATACCTCGAATCTGGTATTTCTACACATACTCGATCGAGTATCTGTATATACTCGATCGAGTACCCGAGCCTGCACCTCAAAAAGCCTATAAATACACCTCCTTTCCTTCACTTTAGGAAACCAATTCACATATACTCTTTAGCTCAGTTTAGATTAGTGTTTTCTTTATATTTTCTATCATGTTTAGTCTCCAAATGAGGAGCTAAACTCTTCCATCTTGGTTTTGCTACTTTGAAGCTTAATGAATTTGTAAGTTGTGAGTTATTCCCTTTAATCTTCTTCCTTGAATATTAATTCTTCCTTTAAATACTATTTCTATATCAATGTTGGGGAGTGTTACTAAGATGACAATTAGTTAACATCTTGACATTAATTATAGTAATAGCTATTTCTTCCTCTATGTTAATATTGGGGAGTGTTACTAAGATGACAATTAGTTAACATCTTGATATTAACTATAGTAGGATTCATCTTCTCTAATGTTCTTCCTTGAATATTAATTAATTCCTATTCATATTTCATATTAATATTTTGAACATTACTTAAAGGATCAATTAGTTTTGTTTCATATATTAATTATTACTAGAATCAATCGGTTAATACGCTTGTTATTAATTCGGTTCTTTCAATAGTAGTAAACTTGGGTTGTTAATGCATGCTTCTCATGGTTAATAAACCAAGGGGAATTAATTATATTGATTAAACCAATAAACCGCTTGTGTTGAGGTTATCAATCTCAATCGTTTTCATCTTGATTTTATTGCTACTATCAAGTTAATATACGGCGCTTGTTCTATATTGACTCGGTAGTAAGTTTTATTAATGAACGCGTCTCGTTATTAATAACTACCCTCGATGAACTGGATATACTCCTCGATTGAGTATTCGAGAGGAAGATAGTTAAAGATATAACCGGGATCGACGAACATTTCATTAAGTGGATAAAAGCAAAGCCAAGTCTTCTTCTCATTAATTAAACTCATTTAAGTCATTCATCTTAGTGTTAATTAAATCAAATCAAATCTAAAAACCCCCTTTGTTACTAGTTAAATAAAAAGAGAAATATTCCTTTCCCTGTGGATACGAACCTTACTACGCTATACTACGTATAAGTGTTGTATTGATATTTATTTTGAGTGCACCTCACGACAAGTGCACGTCAAGACCGCCGGTGTGTTATTGAATCGACCGGGTCGCTTGGGTGGAAGATTCAGGAAGTCAACGTCGGAGAAAAGGCGTGGTTGGGTACGCAGGCGTTGGCCAGAGGATGTCTCCCTTACGGCCGCGACGTATGAAGGCTGAGCGGTCGAAGGTTCTGGTCCCTCCGCCGGCGGCTCGCTGCCGCTCAGGCATCGGGCGTGGTGTCCAAGCTACCAGATGTAGAGAGATGATAGAGCTTCTAGCTCTACAAAACTACTGATGCGAACAAATAACTTACATGAAGTGTCACTGTTATATGTTGAAGCAACAGTATTAATTTTCATTGATATATAAGTGTCGCAAATGTATCTATGTCATTGTAGTGTCAGTAAACAAGTGTCATTGTAAACTGTTTTTCTAGTAGTGCAAGTAGGAGAGAGAGGAGATTATTATTTATGAACTCGAGATGTTCTAAGGTCTGGGATCGTTTACAAGGGGAAATGGGCTGCTATTTATAGCAGCAATAAATGCGATGAGAGTACACGTGTCAGTAATCCAACGGCCGAGGGGTCACGTCAATCGGGGTGGCACCGACAGTGGCATGTCCACCGCATTGAATGCGGTGGGTGGATGTGACGTTGCATTAAATGCAGTGGTTGGCTGTCTCCAAAGGGAATCTTCGATGATTGAGTCTTGTTTAGCCGAAGGCTCTTCATGCAGCCGAGGGCTTCATGTAGCCGAGGGCTCTATATGGCCGAAAGCCTGGTTCAGCCGAAGGCTTCCCTGATGCCGAGGGCTCAGCAGTGCCGAAGGCTCCTGTTTTCTGCTATTTTCTTCCAGTGGTTTCATATGCCAAAAAGAGTTCATGCTGTGTGTTCTGGAGCCTTCGGCCAAGGAGGCCGAAGGCACCCCGGTTTGTATTTCGGGCTTCTTTGGGGCTTGGGCCGTTGTATTTGGGCCTCAGATGTTCCCTGGGCTTCATGGGCCTGTGTAGGAGAAGTAGGAGTCTATGGGCCGGGGGTTCCTGGGCCATATACTCCATCACTCGTAATAATACTCCCTCCGGTTTTTAATAAACTTCACACTTTCCTTTTTGGGACGGTCTAAAATAAACTTCACACTTCTTTATTTCCTTTTTTGGCAAAGAAATCTACATCAAAACAGTGCCAAACAGTGCCAAACAGTGTCTCAACAGTGCCAAACAGTGTCTCTATAGTGCCAAACAGTGTCAAACAGTGCCTCAACAGTGTACTCTACAGTAAAGTCAAATTTCCTTCCTTATTTTGTGTGAAGTCAAACTGTGAAGATTAAAAACAGGGGCGGAGGTAGCAATAAGGTTAGGGGGGCCATTGCCCCTCCCAATTTTTTTATTTTTTAATACTATTAGTATTAATATATTAGATCATTGACTATGTGAAGGATATTCAAGTACTGAAGTAGTTCAATTCATAATCTGCCTAATCGTATGCTCTTTTAGTTCGTGTCTTAAATTGTGATGGGTCTTCAAGTTTTTCTTTTCATTTGTAATTTTTTTAGTGCTTAACTGATTTATATATATATATATATATATATATATATATGGTTAGCTATAATATTATATTATTATGATTGGAATTGATAAAAGTGTCACATAGTATTATTACGATTGGAATTGATAGATATGGAGTATATGATTTTAGACTTATTACTTTAGTCATTTAAAAAAATCATCTATAAGGCATTGTTTCGAGCTCGGATTATATTTAGGAAAAAATAATATGATTCTATAAATTTGTGAGATTTTACGTATTTTTTTGATGAGATCTAATAAATTGATCGACTTTGACATATGATAAAATTCATCATAATTATATGACTATTTGGATAATTATATTGGAGAGTAATATATCTAACATATGCAAACAATATTAAAAATGAAGTATATCATATGCTTAATTGTTTTTTAATTGTGTGATACAATATGAAACACAAAAGTATCATTTTTGGCATTTGTTTTCCTTTCCTAATCATTGCGCAACATATCATAATAGTATAATTTTGAAAGAATGAGCATCTCACTATAATTAATCTTAAATACTGATATATAGAGTTTTGCGATATCGTTCTATAAAATCTCGAAGTATTCAAATAAGCCAACTATTCGATATTGTCCTAGAAATTTTCAGAGTACATTTTATTGCTTGAGCTCATTCTTGCCTCCCCCTATCGTCAAATCCTGGCTCCGCCCCTGATTAAAAAAAACCGGAGGTAGTAATACGTAGTACTCCCGAAAAAGACCGGTTCTATTATATACGGAGTACGTAGTACATTGATTGGCATTCATCTCAGTACTAGTCGTGTTAATTTCGCGTCTCCCGAAGAAAAACCGGTGCTATTCTCGTTAGTTGTTTAAGGACCAATGTAATAAAACATTCCCTTCTTTTTTTTTTTTTTTTGAAAACCAAAATCTTAATTCATTTCATCATTGATAATGTGAAGAATACAATGGGGAATAAAAGAGAATTCTTTGGGAGAAGCATGATTAATAGATACCCTAGCTAAAGCATGAGCACTATTGTTCGCTTGTCTCCTAGTAAAAACAACTTGAAACTCGTTGTTGGACTTAAGCAGCAACCTGCAATCATCCACCAAAGACCCATACTCCAGATGAATATCACGGTCAGCTCGTATGTCATCCACAAGTCGTTTGCAATCCGACTCAAAAATGACTCTTGTATACCGCTTGGTAATCATCCATGTCATGGCCTGTCTAAGAGCCCAAGCTTCAGCTTCTTCCGGACTGAACGTTGTATTCCACCACTCCGTTCGTGCCATAATATAGCGTCCACGGCAGTCTCTAGCACACACCCCGCAACCAGACCTTCTGCCATTGTCAAACAGAGCTGCATCTACATTACATTTAATGTAGCCTGGAGGAGGAGCTGTCCACTGTTCAACTCTCGGTGCTGCAACCGGAGTATCTTTCAAGAGTTGTGCTCCTTTCCATGCGTTTAGCACCTCTGCCCCGCGCTGAATTGTTTGTTGCGTTAGCTCCCGTGTTCCTTCCCAATACAACAAGTTCCTCCTCCGCCATATACTCCATAAAGTCATGGCGAAAACTTGCAGCTTTCCACTTGGTTGGGCTGCTACGGTGTCAAAGAAAAACTCCTTAAAGCTCTCCTTGTGTTGCATTTTTAAAGATATTTCATCTAGCATATTCAGTTGACGCCAACACGCCACACTTTCTGGGCAAGATAAGAAGACGTGCCATGCATTTTCAGGTCCTCCATTGCAGCAAACACAAATATCTGGGCAGTTCACTCCCTTGCTTCTCAACTTGTGTCGGTTCGGTAAGCAATCCCTGCTAACTCGCCAGAGAAAAACTCGAACCTTGGGCGGGACTGCTAAGGTCCAAATTTTCTGCCACGGTCCTTGCTTTTTCAAGTGATCCATATCCACCAGTGTGTCCATACAAACCCGGTAGCCGCTTCTAACCGTGTATTTTCCATCCTTTGTAAACTTCCAGACTGGTCTATCCCGCCTTCCATGACACAATAAAGGAATAGAAAGTATTTCCTCCGCATCTCGTTGGCAGAAGACGCTCCGGATATATCCTTCCTTCCAGCCTTTGACTTCTTTATCAATAAGATGAGATACTTTTAGGTCTTTCATTGCAGGCACCTCCTCAGTATGCAACCAAGGTTCATTTTTATTTCGAAGCCAAGGTTGACCCCAAATACTAATATCATCACCATCGCCAATACTCCAGCGGTGTCCAGCCTTAACCAATGCTTGAGATGACCAGATGCTACGCCATGTGAAACTAGGGTTATGGCCAATAGCCGCCCCAATAAAATCCCCCTTCGGGAAGTATTTAGCCTTGAGAATACGTGTAAACAAAGCTTCCGGGTTGGAAAGGAGCTTCCAACCTTGTCTCCCTAGCATCGCAAGGTTAAAACCATGAAGATGACGAAAGCCCATACCCCCTTCATTCTTGTGGACCGTAAGTTTTTCCCAGCTCAACCAATTAATCCCCTTTCCACCCCCTTTCTTAGAACCCCACCAAAATGAATTCAGTATTCTTTCAAGCTCCTCTTGGAATGTTGAGGGCAGCAAGAATACACTCATGCAGTATGCTGGGATCGCTTGAAGAGCAGATTTGATTAAGACCTCCCTCCCGGCCTGAGATAGAGCCCTACTGCTCCAACATGAAATTTTGTGCCATATTCCGTCTTTAATATAATTAAAAATAGCTTTTTTGTTCCTTCCTATCATAGATGGAAGGCCAAGGTATCTGCCTGTCCCGATACCTTCCCGAACTCCAAGTATGGCCATAATTTGCTCCTTTTTTGACATAGATGTATTACGGCTGAACATGATTTCTGATTTTTGAAAATTAATATGTTGTCCGGAGGCGATGCCATATCTTTCCAGAATGTTTTGAACTCGAAGTGCTTCTCCCTCATCCGCACGAAAAAATAGGTAGCTATCGTCTGCAAAGAGTAAGTGACTTACTGTGGGGGCACCTTTGCAGATCTTGATACCATGTATAACTCCTTTTTGTTCAGCTTCACGCAAGAGTGACGTGAACCCTTCAGCACATAATATAAAAAGATACGGAGATAAAGGATCTCCTTGCCTCAAACCCCTGCTCGGAATTATCGGCCCGACCTGGTCATCATTTATAAGAGCCGTGTATCGCACTGTTGTAACACACATCTTCATCCATCCAACCCACTTCTCATTGAAACCCATTTTCCTAAGAACAGAGAAAAGATAATCCCAACTCACACGATCATATGCCTTACTGATATCGATCTTGAGGGCTGCCTCGCCTCGTAATCCTCCTGTTTTGCACTTCAGATAGTGTATAATCTCATTAGCAATTAACACATTATCTGTGATACAACGACCAGAGACAAAGCCCGCCTGCTCAGTAGAAATACACCTAGGTAAAATAGCCTGGAGCCGATTGGCTAAAACCTTGGAGATGATTTTGTAAACCACATTGCACAGAGAGATAGGTCTTAGGTCACTCATGGAAGCAGGAGAGTCACATTTAGGAATTAAAACAATATGTGTATCCCCTATAACTTCAGGGAGCTGCCCTTGATCCAACCAAGCCCGTCCCGCTTGAATGATATCAGTGCCACAGAGATTCCAGAAGCGTTTATAGAAGGCAGGATTAAGTCCGTCAGGACCCGGAGCTTTGTCTGAATGCATTTGCAAAACAGCTGCTCGAAATTCCTCCTTTTGAAATGGCACAGTCAGAGTTCTGTTATCTTCCTCATCAACACATTGGCTAACATTTTCAATGTCGTGCACAACATCTACATTAGGCTTGTGAAAAAGATTAGTAAAATAATCACGCACGACCGCACACATTTCTTCCCTAGAAGAGACCATGGATCCATCTTCACACATCAATCTACTGATCTTATTTTTCTTCTTTCTAGTAGTAGCTGTTGCATGAAAAAATTTTGTATTCATATCACCATCACGCATCCAAAAAACTTTAGCTCGTTGTTTCCAGAACGCCTCCTCTTGGGAGAGTAATCTGGAGAGCTCCTCTCTCCAATGTTGTGCTTCTCCTGCAGCCTCTTCTGTAAGGGATTCTCTTGCTGCTTCTAATCTAAGCCTGCATTTATCTATGGCTTCAGTGTGTCTCCGTCTTAGTTTGCGTCCCCAGGAATCTAGCTTGGTCGTACACCTTGATAATTTCGTCAATAATGCTTGCCCATTACACTCAGACCATTCATCATTCACTACTCGATTCAAGTCAGGTTCAATCAGCCATGAATTTTCAAACTTAAAGCTCCTCCTCTTATAAGTAAAGACCTTGGAGTCCGTTGACAGTAATATGGGTGAATGGTCCGAATGGGATGCTACCAGATTTTTCAAACTACTGAGAGGAAATCGCTGCAGCCAACTGTCAGTCCCCATAGCCCGGTCTAGTCGCTCTTCTACCGCTTCTGTTGTATTCAAGCCTCTCCACCAGGTAAACGGCCTTCCTTGAAGCGGAACATCGATTAATCCACAATCTTGTATTGCTTCTCTGAACCCATTTAACAGCCATGTGGGGTGTTCTACCCTTCCTCTCTTCTCCTCCTGTGCAAGTATGTCGTTGAAGTCACCAATAATGCACCACGGCATAGTAATATTAGAGGCCAGATTCCTTAAGATCTCCCAGGAGTCTCGTCTCCTTCCCCTATCCGGTATACCATAGAATCCGGTGAGTTGCCAAGGTCTACTTATGTCCTCCTTAACAATAACATTAATGAAGTTATGTGAGTAATTGATTAGTTCAATCAATTGAGCTGATTTCCAGAGAATCGCCAGACCCCCACTCCTGCCATCTCTATCTACCACAAAATGAGCTTCAAACCTGAGATGTATGCGAACCTCATCCACCTTTTGATTGCCACAAAGTGTTTCACTCAAAAAAATAACATCCGGTTTATGACACCGGACGAGGTCACGCAATGCTGGAACTGCGTTGGGGTGACCCAATCCCCGGCAGTTCCAACTTAAGACAATCATTGGTCCTGGTGGGCCTGATACCCAGGACCCACCCCAAAAAAAGAATTGTTTGGTTCCCCTGTAGCCATGACCTGCAGTTCTTTTACTAATGGTTGTGATGACGATGTGTCAGCTGGTTTGGGACGCTTCCTCTTTTTCTCTGTTGTTGTGTCACTTTCTTCTTGGTTCACGGTGTTCTGCTGATCCATTTGCACATTCCTGTTGCTTCCATTATACACTGCCAGAACATCCTCTGGCTCATCTTGTGTGGTATGATGTTCACTGACGTGGCTGTGAGATCTTTGACTAACCCCGTATTCTTTTGTATCTTCCCTCAGCCATCTGCATCCCCCAGACCCCCCAGATCGTCGTTTTTCAACTCGTAGATCTGCACTCCATCCTCTCACCCCATTATCTTCCTGCTGCTGAAAGAGTCTATTGCATTGGTTATCAAAATGTCCCAGGACTCCACAAAGAAAGCAAAATGTGCCCAATCTCTCATATTTGAACTTAACCACTTTAGTATCCCCATCAGGCATCCCAATCCTTTTCCCCCTCTTTAGCGCCCTGCGAACATCAAGAGTAACCCGTATCCTCATGTATTTTCTCCAAAAGCCTTCATTATTCTTGGGATCATATTCCACAAATGTGCCAATAAAGTTGCCTAGTCCTATTCCAACCTCCTCTGTCATGTGAGTCATTGGGAGGTCATGTACTTGGACCCAGAAATCGACATGAAACAAGGGAACTTGGGATGGGATATCAGAAGCTCGCATTTTTGCAAGTATTAGGAGGTGATTATCAAAGTGCCAGGGACCATCACGTAGAACACGTAGCATGTCTAGCTTGTGAAAGAATTGGTATAAGAAGATACCTTTCTCCACTTCCTTGATAGCCACCCCTTCATGAGGTTCCCAAATCGAGGCAAGCCTCTCCTTCATCATATGGACACGTATTGGTTTAGTCGTGAGGAATCTACCCACAAGGCACAAATTAATGTCTGCAAGCCGATCATGATTTTTTGGAATCAAGAACGTCAATACCTCATCTTCATCGTCACTGAGACATAGGTTCCCTATTTCTGCCATGCCAGACTGTATTGCTGGAAAGAATCGTAGTGAATGTTAGAGATTCGACTTCCCACAAGAGGAGAAAACCCTAGATTCGACTTCCCACAAGAGGAGAAAACCCCATTCGTCTACAAAATGGAAGTAAAACATTCCACGATTCCACCGGAATAAGAACTAAGATAAAAAGAGTAAAATAAGAAAGGTAAAATAAAGTGTAATAATTACAAATAGGAAAAAGGGAAAGGTAAGGCGTAGGAAAGAGTTCCACATGATTCTTTGCTTTTTTTTCCTTTTTAATTTCTCTAACTACAAAGTACAAATTAATCTAAATTTTTGAAGATTCCAATTTCGCTTTACCATCGTTTTCAATATTATTTGGTTATTATAGATCCAGGCTTACCTGATCTTCCACAAATGAACAGTCCGGTCCTTTAATTTTAACCTAAAAAATATTAAACTAAATTAAATCCTAATGTCACGGGTAATTTGTATTGGAATGACATTTTATTCCCTAAGTTCCAAGACAAAGAGACACATATTCTCGATCTCTTCTTCCTAAATAAAATCAGACAAATATACTCTACACGACTACACCCCACCCCCACCCCCACCCCCACCCTACCATCTTTTATATTCTCGTTTTTCAAAAGTGGAATCCTAATAATCTTCTTTTTCCATCTCTCTTTTCCACTAATGAATCA